TGCCATGATTTTTGAACATCTCTCCACCTCATTGACCTCTTCCCAGTAACGGATGGCGTACTGGCGGAGGGTTTCCCCTTCCTTCCGTTTGAGTGTCAGCAAGGATCCAATATCTTTGGGTCGCTTACTCCCTGTAATAAACCGGGCTAAGAACTATCTGGTTAACTCCTTCCATGACCCAATGCTATTGGGAGGGAGAATCTCAAACCATTTCATAGCGGAGTCTCCCAAACTCATGGAGAACACCCGACATAAAAGTCGTTGGTCTGAGTGGTACAGGGACATCATTTGCTTGTATTGTCTGAGGTGAGCTTCGGGATCAGATCGTCCGTCATAAGTTTTGAACCTTGGCACCGTAAATTTTTTTGGTACCTCCATCTCCCGGATATCCCTAGTAAAAGGGGATTGTATGGTTTCATCATCTGCGTTGTCCTAGACAGCCTTACTCCTTCTTCTGGAGTCTAGCCGAGCTCTGAGGTCAGTTTCCAACTTACGGGGGAGACCCTCCAAGGTCTCCGTGCTAGTTGATGGGGTACCCCCTTCCTGGGTGTCGAGTGGAGAGGGTTGAGTCCTCTTCGGATTCCTCCACGTCCCCTCGCCTGGACAGTCTCTGGCGGAGGTCATCCCAAGCCAAAGGCCTTGCCTTCTTGGCATGACCATGCAGGGGGTGCTCCTTGACTCTTGGACGCTTTGGGGCCCTAGAACTTTTAGCTTTGTTGTTCAAGTGATTCCTCAGGTCCTCAGTTTCCACTTTCCCGACGGAATGTTCACGGGAACGAAAACGAGTCCCTGGATCCTTCGACAGAAGCTGCAAATTCATTGAGACGGCTAAGAAAGTTCACGTTGTCCTCTTCTAATTGCCGTAATCGACCCCCAAACTTCTCCTCGATCATTTCTGCCAGTTGACGGGCCAATGGGGCAGATCCTCCTGATCTGATGCCCATACTGGTTTGGTGGGTATGCCCCCTCAATTGAATGGAGATATTCCTGTCTACACCATTAACTTGATCCTTCATTCCGGAACTAGAAGGAGCTTGCAAATCGAGATTCTTCTGTTGGGGACCCTTTCCTTTCTGTCGAGTATTCACCATGATCACTTTTCTTTGAAAAAATTAGTTGTTTCCCACAGATGTCGCCAGATTGTGCGCGCTGATTTTTGCACAACAGTAGAAGTAGGAATTATTCTCTCCCACGATAAACTGTGGTTCAACAAGACAGTAATTTCGGCGGAACGAAAGGTTTACTTTCAGAATCTCTGATCGCCTCTAATAGAGTTTCGACCCATCCGAAAGTGGGTTTTAGCAACAAGAAGTAGGGTAAAGAGGACAAAGGGGCCCTAAGGACTGTTGATGAATTGTTTGTTGGGTCGCCTAACCGGTCTTGGAAGACTGTGGGGGGGTCCTGTGACACAGAAAAACAAGTTAGAAGGGTGTCGGAGTGCTTTCCGGCGTATCCCTTCCAACGATTAAGTCAGTTCTTTGAGAGAGGGAAAGAAAAAAGCACTATGGTTCTTTTCAAAAGTTCTTGCGTACCTTTGTGATATATTTTTGAGAATTATTTATACTTTCAAAAGTTCATCATTGTTGATAATATAGCTAGTAGACAATTATTAGAGATGGGGCAGTGTGCCCCTTTTCCTATAGTGGGGAATGCATTCAGCCTTAGCTGCTCGGGACGCCGAGCAATTGATGCTTTTCCCTCGGCCTGCCGAGTATTCAATGCCCTTCCCTCTGCGAAGGAGTATTAAATGCTCAGGCATGAGAGCATTTAATGTCTTTCACTTCTCGATCCCCATGCCTTAAATGTTGTCTCATCAGGAAGGGGATACATTAAATGTCTGTTTGCTCAAGTCATGTGTCAGCAAGGGCATTTTGGTCCTTTTGTCCTTGATCTGACACCGCATGCCACGTGCCCATTCCTCCTTGGTTGAATCTTCTGCATTCTTGTGCCTCTTGACACCATTGAATAAAACACTGTTATGATGGCTAGCCTAGCTTAACCTGGCTTATGCTAGTCACCTGTTAATCACCAGCCTTTGTAACAGTGGAAAAGTCCACATTCCAGTAGATACACCTCGGCGCCGAGGGAGCATACACACATCGGGACTGATATCATCAATCTGAGCCGTGGGATATGTGTCATCCATGCCGCCTCGGAGTCCCTCAGCCCCCTGGGGAATTATTTCCTTAGCGGGAAGGCTAAGGATGCCCGATAACACGTGTCAGAATCATAGCAGAGATGCTTCGTCGGTGTCGAGAACACGTGTCGCCATTTGTTGCGTTCTAAAAATGTCCCATCAACAAGAAAGAATCAGGACATGGATAACCCAATACATCTTTGGATAAAGTACTAATAAATAAACCTGAGAATTAGAATTATAGGTTCTTGTTATGTCATTCAGCCAATTATTCTGGGCGTGGATTGTATCATCTTTTGGATGGATATTAAAAGGTAGAAGCTGGATAAAGGTGCACGTGAGTTTAACTTTTGAAGCAATTAAAGGATAAAATCTACTTTCAGGTTAACTGAAGTGATATTCAATGGCATAAAGTCCCAGGAATGTAGCTTTGTGTGCAGTTGAAGGACGAACCCCTGTCCCACGCTACCCCTGTCCAGTGTTCTCTTCTTATTCTTCTTCGCAAACTTCTTGCTGTCCACTTGATCCCTAACTCCTTTGTATTATCTCCACATTGGCCCCAATTAAGATATTCGATAATTACGGTATCATAGAATTTTTTTTAGGGTACTAAAGTTATTAGAAAATGAAAATAACTTTATAATTTAATCTGGTAAGTTACATCCGAATAAGTGTTTTTTTTTAATCAGGTCAGGTTATGCGTATTTTGCCCAATTTCTTTTTCGGTCTGGTCAAAGACAAACCATCAAGATTATGACTAAAATATTCGTGAGAAATAAATTTTTCATAACTTAACCTAGAGATAACAAATGAGAGAATTGAGATTATAACGGATTGGATTAAACCGATTAACCTATAAAATAATTAAAATTTTTAATAGGCACAGTAGTATATCAAAACACACACACACACATATTAATAGTACACAAAAATACAAATAGACAAACACTCTAATACACCAAAATACATACAAATCAATACACTAAAAATATACACACTAATACACTAAAAATACACACACATATACTAACACAAAATCAAAACACATTTAATAAAAAAAATACGCACATAATGGGTCGGGGTCAATTGTGGACTATAGACTGGTCCGTGGGTCATGGGTCAACCCATGGGTCGTGGGTCACGAGTGGTTTATTAGTGTGTGTTTTTGGTGTACTAGTGTGTGTATGTTTTGGTATATTAGTGCATATGTGTATATTTTTTGGTATAATAGTGTGTATATTTTTTGGTATATTGGTATATTTATTTAATTTTATTACTTGTATTACTTGATAAAAAGATAAATATTCAATTCAATAGATGCTCATTTGTAATCCATATTTTTCAACCCATTTAGAATTCATATTAATTAATATAATTATTTAATCTATTTATTTATAGACAGATTAGATGAATTAATGAATAATGAGTTAAGATTACTACATTTAACTTAACCTAAGGGATTATCAAGATTCGTAAAAGACTGGAAAATTCATTTGCTCACGTTTGAAGCAGAAACAGTCCATCTATTGGCTCTGAAACGGCAACTAATTGTTGGTGCACAGGAGGGATGTTGTATCATGTAGGTATGAGGGAGGTGATGCGTATTGGCGATCTTGTGTGTATCAAGAAATTTGATAATTTACAAATAAGATAGGCCAGCCACAATCCATTATTAATAATGATAGGTGGACATTAGGCACCGAACATTTTCGAGTTTTTTTATTCAATCATTGATTTGGTGGTGACACATGTTGTTTTAGAACTGGATTCTACGTAGTCTTCTGATCTGGCAAGTTTCAATCTCCTGATGATTTTGCAATTCTAAATACTTTTACTTACAGATGTATGTATAATTACACATACCCACCACATAGAAATAAACTACGACATATTCGCTAAAATATTTCAAAACAATGGGCAAGTTTAAAATTAACTTAAAATTTTAGTTTTAGAGAAAAATAAGTCTAATTCGTTTAAACTTAGATTTATTGGACGAATTTTTCATTAATTTTTTGAATAAAAACTTTTGTTAGTATCAAAGAAAAAACTTTCACTATGTGGGGTTAGTTTTTCTTTTTGCCACCCTGTTTTTATGTAATTCAATTGCACATAAGGAAATTAAGTTAATTCAGAAAAATTAAGGCACTTGTAATTAATGTTTTGAAATTTTCTACCAAAATTATCTATTTTTCCTATCAATTTTAGATGACTAGTTAATTTAATTATAAATAATCATTTTATCAATTAGATCAAACACATGGAATTCATTCCTTAAAAATCTATACCGACTATGGTACTCAATATAAATTATATTTTTTTTACTGTGCTTTAAATATTTCGTGAGTGCTTAAAATATTTATTGTAATTATAAGATAAATGATAAAATATATAATTTATTATAATTAATAGATTATTCCTATTGTATCGTACAAGTACTTTCAGAATATCTATATAATAATAGACAATTACGATTAAAAAGATTGGGCAAGTGGTTGAAGACGACTTGTGGTTCGAAAACAATTACTTAAAAAAAAAAAAAAAAAGAACTTAAGTGAGGGAAAAAAGGCATCAATCTCCAATAGAAGGGAATGTATGAAGGAGGTCGACACATAATCAAGCAAAACGCCGCCTCTGACATCATCTCTGCTAATCGTACTGCGATTCCACCCAATCAGCGTTCAATTCTCATTGACCTCCTACACGCACTCTGTCTGTCTCTCTCCCTTCCTCTTCCCATAGTTACACAGGTTCATGTCCATACAGACAAGCCATCGTTCCCCTGGATCTGACCCACATTCCAGCTTCCCAAACAAACTACAACTCCATCTCAAAAACCACCCTCCTCTCTCCCTCTCTCTTTCTCTCTCTCTCCAATAATATGGCCCGAAATGTCCGTACGACCTTTCTTTACGTGTTGGTCTTAATCGCCTTCTTGGCCTCTATCTCTCACCGTCTTTTTCGCGATTTCATCTCCGGCGAGGAGTTCCGTCCACCCTCCGTCCCTCTCAAAGGCCCACAACCCAACCTAGCCAATCACGCTATCCATGAAAACCTCACTCACCAGACCATCCCTCACCTCACTGGTCACGACGTGTTTTCCTCCTTATCCTCATCATCGTCGTCAATCTCCACCGTCTCAATTTTATTGCCGGGTTGGGAAGTCCTCGTTATTCTGTCGCCGGAGACTACGCTGCCGTCAGATATAAATGAATTTACTTGTCTCTTTCCAAACAACGTATATTCTCCGGCGAAACCAGCTGGAGAATTATATTTTCCTAATAGAACGATTTTCACGTGTGAATTACCGAAGAGA